CCATGTGGGAGATCTGGGTGGAGTTCTGGCTCCTGGCTTTGGCCTGGCCTAGACCTGGCCACTTGGGTGTCTGGGGAGCAAATCCGTGAATGGGAAGTTCTCTGTTTTTTTCTTTCTTCCTCTCAAATAAAAATAAATAATTTTTTAGAAGTTAACACTTTGTTTAAAGATTGCAGTCTGAGCTCAGCCGAGTGGAGTTGTTTAGTGTGTGATGGCAGCTCACCCTTTTCTATAAAATGCACGTACATACTTAAAATGCACATGAAAATGCAGTGTCACCGGTTCTGCCCTCGGAGCTGCCTCTGTGGAATGAGGCTTCCCCAGCCTGGGCAGGGCTGGGTTCCTCCCCGGGTGCCCGTGTGCAAGTGGGTTCCAGGCAGGAGAAGGGAGGCGTCTGCTGACAGTGTCCCCTTAGTGAGGTCGTCCACTCTGCCCAGTACGTGTTCTTTTCCCTCAAGCCATTAGTGCTTCATCATGAAAGCCCGACTCCAGAAGCCAGGGCGTCGTGAAGGATCCATGATCAATGATTATAAAATAATCATCATCATGGCTACTGTTGATTGAGTTCTTATATGTGCCAGGAGCTACGTTAAGTGCTATGCATGCATTATCTTGTTTATCTTCAGAACAACCCAAGGGATCCGTACTGTTACTATGCCCATTTTAAAAACCGAAGATGACACGTCAGTTTATGAAAGCAGTGTGCTACACTACAGAAGGCCAGGAAATGCAGACAGGCAAAGAATGAGAACATGAAAACACCATATTCTTACCATTTAGAGAAAATCAGTGCTAACACCATGCCTGAAGTTTTCAAATTTAGAAAAACTTCTTATTTCTCACCAAAACTAAATTAAGAATATTATCAAAAAATCCAAAAACGACATTCTGTGTGAAAAAGCATGATACGCACCATGAACCCAGAGTAACATCCAGGCCCTTTCTTTCTGTTTTCCTTCTTGCGTTAACAATCCTGATCATTTCTAAACCTTAGACAAATCCTACTGGATACCAGGCAGGTGTGTACCGGGAAGAACAGAAGAGATACCCGTATGGAAACTTTTTATTTAAGATTTATTTATTTGAATGGCAGAGTTACAGAGACAGAGAGACAGAGAAAGGTTTGATCTGCTGGTTCACTCCCCAAATGGCTGCAACAGCTGGGACTGGCCCACACTGAAGCCAGGAGCCAGGAGCTTTTCCAGGTCTCCCACGAGGATGCAGGGGCTCAACCACTTGGGCTTTCGCTGCTTTCCCAGGCACATTAGCAGGGAGCTGGATGGGAAGTGGGGCAACTGAGATTCAGACTGGCACCCATTGGGATGCCAGCACTGCAGCTGGCAGCTTGACTACTGTGCCACAGTGCCAGCCCTGGAAATATTTTTTTTTTTTTTGACAGGCAGAGTGGACAGTGAGAGAGAGAGACAGAGAGAAAGGTCTTCCTTTGCCATTGGTTCACCCTCCAATGGCCGCCGCAGCCGGCGCGCTGCGGCCAGCGCACCGCGCTGATCCGATGGCAGGAGCCAGGTACCAGGTACTTCTCCTGGTCTCCCATGGGGTGCAGGGCCCAAGCACCTGGGCCATCCTCCACTGCACTCCCTGGCCACAGCAGAGAGCTGGCCTGGAAGAGGGGCAACCGGGACAGAATCCGGTGTGCCGTGTGCCGGTGCCACTAGGTGGACGATTAGCCTAGTGAGCCGAGGCGCCGGCCGTGGAAATATTTTTTAAAAACCCTGTGGGGGAGACATTGTGGCACAGCAGGTTAAACCATTACCTGCTGCACTTCCATCCCTCGTGAGTGCCAGTTCAAGTACTGGCTGCTCTGCTTCCAGTCCTTGCTGATGCCTGGAAACACAGTGGAGGATGGCCTGAGTCCTTGGGTCCCTGCACCCATGTGAGAGACCCAGGTGAAGCCCCTGGCTCCAATCTGGCCCAGCCCCAGCCACTGTGGCCATTTAGGGAGTGAACTAGAGGATTTCAGATTTCTCTATCTCTCCCTCTCTGTGTCTGTAACTCTGCCTTTCACATAAATAAAATAAATCTTTTTAAAAAAATCAGAAGAGCATCCCACATGGACCCCAGTTCAAGTCCCAGCTGCTCCACTGCTGATCCAGCTCCCTGCTAATGGCCTGGGAAAGCAGCATTGGATTGTCCAAGTGCTTGGGCCCCTGCACCTATGTGGGAGACCTGCAGGGGTTCTGCTTCTGGCTTTGGCCTGGCCCAGCTCTAGAGTGAACCAGAGAATGGAGGATCTCTCTCCCTCCCCAGCTCCCTGTAGCTCTCACTTTCAAATAAATAAAATAAATCTTTTAAAAAATCTGAGCTTACCAAGTACATTTAGTTAGTACAAACATTAAGGACTTTTGGAGGCTGGTGTAGTGGGTTAGACCACTACCTGCAGTGCTGGACTCGCATAAGGGGTGGCAGAATGATCAGTTCACAAAGCTACTGTTGCAGGCCTGGCATGAATTCAGAGATTCTGGAGCAGGTATCATGGCACAGTGGGTTAGGCTGCTGCTTGGGTGCCTGTGTTCCATACTGGAGTGCGTGGTTCAAGTCCTGGCTGTTCTGCACTTCTGATCCAGCTCCCTGCTAATGCACCTTGGAGGCATGAGAGGATGGCACAAGGACTTGGGTTCCTGCCGTCCACTTGGGAGACCCAGATGGAGTTCCTAGCTCCTGGCTAGCCTCAGCTGTTGGGTGCATTTGGGGAGGGAACCAGCGAATGGAAGATCTCTGTCTCTCCTCTCTCCTCTTCTCTCTCTCTCTCCTTTTCCAATGAAAATTAAATAAACAAGTAATAATTTAAGATGAGATCCTGCAGACTGGTCACACTCCTCCTGTCTGACCACAGTTTCTGGAGCCCCTGCAGAGGTAGCACAGGGTATTTTCCAAGTACCTGTTCATTGTTAAGGTCGCAGGTAATACTTTTAGACCTGGACCATATGAGTAGCATGGCTTTCTTTTATTTTATTTACGGTTTTAACATTTAGAGAGTGAGAGAACACAGGAAGGTGAGAGCTTTATAAAAGGGAGAAGGGAGTTCAGCAAAGCAAACTGGGAGGTCCATACCAGGCAGAGAGCAGGTCAGGAGCCGCGTGCGGGGAGTCCCAGGCCAGACCTGCGTGAAGAACGTGAGATTGGGAGTAGCTGCAGGTAGCTGAAAACAGGGTGAGGAGGGGCCAAAGGCCATGTGCCTTCTGGGGCGTGGGAGAGCAGGAGCGGGCCCAGCATGCTCCACGCCTTTTATTCAGGTAACATGGCTTCAAAGACTGTGCCTGCAGATGTAGAGAAAAACTGAGTGTGGCTGATTAACGCCAACAGTAACTACTATTAATCCTAGTTAACTTCAGGTAGAAAATGCAGCAGTTTTTAAATTATCTTGTGTGAGCTCACAGATGGCTGTAAACAAGGTGGTCGTGGCGCTGAGGTGTGGTACCAGTGCTTGGAGGTTTTGTTGTTTTCTGTTACTGGGGAGGTCTGAATTCATGGGGCAAAGCCTGCCACGGGTGTGGTTCTGGAGTGAGGCTGAGGTGGGGCCGGCCTGCGGCTGCTGAGGGTGGCCATGGGTATAGACCGAATTGGGCTGACTTACTACTGCTGTTAGGAGGAGCCGCGTTAATGGGAATGAATCGGGGTGACTGTTGAGTGTCAGTACCGGCTGGGATCTCGTGGTTGAGCCCAGTGAACACCATGCTGTGGATCATACAGCAGTGTCTGCAACGGGACTGCAGGCTGCTCTGTGTGTCTGTCGCTGCGTCGTCATCCAGTACGTAGGGTGGTGCGCTTGCTCCTCCTCTGAAGAGTTGGAATAAACTGTTAGCAGCAGCAAGAATTGGGCGGAAAGGAATAGAAGTAGGTATCTGAGAAGTCAGCCCTCCCTTGGGCCGGTGCTGCGGCTCACTAGGCTAATCCTCCACCTTGTGGTGCCGGCACACCGGGTTCTAGTCGGGGCACCGGATTCTGTCCCGATTGCCCCTATTCCAGGCCAGCTCTCTGCTGTGGCCCGGGAGTGCAGTGGAGGATGGCCCAGGTGCTTGGGCCCTGCACCCCATGGGAGACCAGGAGAAGCACCTGGCTCCTGCCATCGGATCAGCGCGGTGTGCTGGCCGCGGCAGCCATTGGAGGGTGAACCAACGGCAAAGGAAGACCTTTCTCTCTGTCTCTTTCTCTCACTGTCCACTCTGCCTGTCAAAAAATAAATAAATAAATAAATAAATAAATAAAGTCAGCCCTCCCACTTGGCACATCTACACTCCAGTGATTCTGGAGGACTTGGTCCCTGCTCTGAGCGTTAGGGCTTACTAACTGATGGGAAAGTGGAAAATACTCCGTGGAACTCAGGAAAAAGCAGAAGTAGGTGAGCCCTGAATCATGAAAGCAGACATTGTCAGGAAGTACTGAAGTTAACTGATTGGTCCAGAAAGTTGAGCATCAAGTTGGCTGAAATCTTGGCTGCTTTTCACGGATTGACTCGATTTTGAGTCCTGCCAAGCGTAGAGGCAGTGTTCTTTCTGTGTTCTGAAAGCTCATCTCACCGGGAGATTGCAGTGCTGCCCCCAACAGGTGTAGGGAAAGAACTTTACGCTCTTGGGTTTCACGAGAAAGGAAGGGAGCGACGGCCTGCAGACAGCAAGGAAAAGAGAGCCCAGGTTTGCCCGGCCTTCCGGATAGCACAGGTTTCTGTCTGGAATGAGGCATGTGAATGGGTTTTTTGTGCACCTGCCCCGAGAGGCGATGAGAACGCCCAGAGCAGGTCTGCCACCGGTGTGGTTCTGGAGTGAGGCTGAGGCGGGGCCGGCCTGCGGCTGCTGAGGGTGGCCATGAGTGTAGACCGATTTGGGCTGACTTACTATTGCTGTTAGGAGGAGCCGCGTTAATGGGAATGAATCGGGATGGGCAGATGGGTGAGGCCCCAGCAGATGCCCCCTTTTACCGTTCGCCACGTCTGTAGCCCAGCCACGTCTCCTAACCTGCTGTCTTGGTTCCGCCCCTTGTAGAAATGACCTGCTGATGGCCTGCCGCCAGCTGCAGATGGAGGAGTCTGTGGCTGAAATCATGACCCAGCTGGGCGCCCAGGAGGGCGGGAAGATCTCCTTTCAGGATTTTGCACGGTGCCGCATGCAACTCGCTCGAGAAATCAGGAGAGAGGAAGTCGACCTTTCTGTGAAATCAGACAGCTCCTGTGGCAAGCAGCAGCTGAGGGACCGCATCGCTTCCTGGCCCACAGGCAGCGACCACAGCTTGGGTAGGTCCGACCGGGTGGCTATGGGACTGCACCACACCGACCCTGCACTGGCTCAGCCCGGGGCTGCCTTCCTGGCACGTTGTCCACTGTGTGCGCCCGCCACTTCTCTCCGCTCTGTCCCACAGCTTCGCGCTGGCTTGCTGTTGGTTCTTGTGTTTCTACGGCACAGAGCCTCGGTAGCCGTTAGCTGGGAAGGGCAGGTGGGTGGGGCCGGCGGGAGCCGATGGGACCTCTTCCTGTGAGCCGCCAGGTGCTTAGAAGCCATTGCTGTTTTATTCAACGTCAAACAGTGTTTCTGGGAAGAGAGTTTTCCATTTGTGTTACAGCCTGCTGGTGCGAGGTCAGCACGTGGAAAGGGAGTCCTTATGTCGACCGTTGTTGAGGCCGGCTGGGGCACGTGGGCTGTTTGTACGCGTTGGAGTCCTCAGTGAACATGTTTTGAAATTCTGAATATAGAAGTAAAGAGGCATCTTGTGGGGTAGCGTGAACACACCAACAGGGGAAGCTTCTGGACTTCCTACGTGTGCTGCAGGGACAGCTGCTGCCCTCGGGAGTGTTTCACGCATCGCTTCTGCTTCCCTTCTCTGCTGGGTGGACTGGGGCAGGAAGGAGTCATTTTCCGTTGTTTGTTTTACATACATACTGATTGGTCTGGGTAATGAGGCAGTGCCGCACAGCACACACGCGTGCACACACACACACATGCACACACACACGCGTGCACTCACACACACCCTGAGCATGACTCCTGGCTGTAGAATCCTCTGGTGCATTATTATTGAGAAACTAAGCAATGAATGCGTCCACCTGTCCTTTAGGTCTTTTTGCTGTCATGGATCCCACGTCAGCGGTGAGTCAGATGTCTGGGAATGCCTGTGCTCACAGCATGATATGTAGAAACACTTGAAATTACATTTTTCAGAAAATAATCTATTCTTTAAGCAAAAACAAGGGGGAAAGACAGGCTGAACACCATAAAAATCTGTCCTAACCTCTCTGTGCAGAAATAATTCCTGTTTGCATTTGGTGTGCTTGCTGCTTGTCTCGCTGTCTCCCGTCCCACACCCTGCCCTGTGCACATGTGGTCGCGTGACTCAGCCGGGACGCTCAGAAGACGTCTATGAAATGAAAGATGGCATGGAATTCCATTTGCTAAGTCACATTTTCTAATTTTCCTAGCAAGAACATGATTTCTTACGTAAATCCTTAAGTGTGCACACACACACACGTCTGAGGGTTAAGTGGGCCTACCGTCACTACAGTAAGCTGTGAATGTGTTTGGAATCTGTGTGTCCATGTAAAATGTTAAACGCCTGGGAAGTGACTGAGGAGGGTGGGTGGTCCCAGGTGGCCTGTGGGACCTCTCCCCCGTTCCCCCACTTGCCCGAGTCTCAGGAGAGTCAGACACAGCTACAAGTGGTGGGTTGCTGCTCTCTCCTCTCTGTCCTCCTGTGTCTGTTCAGAGAAATCTAGGACCTCCCGTCCTGGGGTCAGGGAAGCCCTCTCGGCCGGTGTGGCTCCCACAACTGCCCCGCAGCAGTGTCCACACTGCGTGCGTCTCAGCCCTCACCCCTCCTGTTGTCTTGAACACGCCCCTGCCGCCTCGTCCTCACCTCCCTGCTGGCCCTGCCCCATCACCTCCCTGCTGGCCGCTCCCACAGCTCCTTTTCTGTCCACGTCCGGATCTCTGGCATTGGACCCAGCAGACGCTCGCTGTGGCCGCACCTCGTGCTCCCGGGGTTCCGCTTCCCTTGCTCAGCCTTTTCTTTTCTGCTCTTCTCCATATCACGTGCAAAGTCCGGGATGCTGAGAGGTTGTGTTGCAGACGACTGCCTGTGGTCCTGTGGTTTCAGATGCTGCTCTTATACAGGGGACTTCCCCGTGCACACGTACCTACGCGGACCCCCTTGCTTTCCCGTGAGCTCAGATCAGGGAAGGTTGCACACAGTCCTGCATGTTTTAGAGACCTCTCACCCTTAACACCATCAAAAAGAATTTTTCCAGACATCCCCGTCTAGGAAAAGTCGCTGTCCCTGAAGTATCCCATCTGCCTGTTGGCCCTCGCCGCTGTGTCTTGTTGTCTGTTTTGCCATGATGTACCCAGGGTCGGCCCCGTCCACATCAGTGTCAGCTCGCCCACGCCCATGGCTGTAGGCGGCCTCCTGCGTCCCTCTGGGCCTCAGCACTGCCTCCCCTGCCCTGCAGTCAGAGGGTCTCCTGAGATCATGGACTCGCTGAGGCTGTTCTCATGCCAAGACACCGCAGCTTCCGGATCCCCTGAAAATGAAGTCGAGCTTCCTGGCCACAGCCTGGCCCAGCCCCAGCCCTCCAAGAGGATCTCAGAGTGACTGCCCTGCCTTACGGGCACGTTCCAGCCACTCCAGCCTTCCTGCTACTCCCCCCACATGGCAGCGTCCACCAGCTGCAGCCCTGGCTCTGTCCCTTGGCCTAGAACCGTCTTCTTTCCAACCTTCTCCCTGGTTGGCCGGCTCTTTCCTGTGACTTGGTTCCACCTCAGTGTCCCCTCCTCGGAGAGGCCCTCCCTGGCTGCACCAGCCGGCCCTCATCCACTCCCTCGCTGCTCCCTGCCCCTGCCTTACCTGGCGCTGCATCGGGTACCTGCTGGCACCTCTCTTCCCTCTCCCCCTCTGCACACGGAAGCTCTGCTTGAGCGCTGGTGACTGCGATTGTCCACGGCTCTTTCCCGTCGCTTAGATCGGTGCTTGGCAGGAGGCGATACTCAGGTGTTTGTTGGATGCTGATCGAATGCACGGATGAGCAGTGCCCTGTGTGGATGCCTTTGAGGGATGCACAGAAGCCCAGCGTACAGTTCCAGACCTGAGGCACGTGCAGTTTAATTGCAGATACGCAAGCACACGACAGACTAACAGCAAGGGTTAAAAGACAGCTAGAGAACTTGAGAAGGCAAGGAAAGTGCAGAGGATGCTGGTCTCTGGGGAGAGCTGAGATGAGGCCGAGGGTCCAGGGTGGAGAAAAGCCCTGTGGAAACTGAGCTTGTGTGGGCCTGGTCGGAAGAACTTCAGTGCTGGCCCCGACGCTCACAGCACGTCCAGGCCCAGGAGCAGAGCTGGCCGGGGCCGAAGCTTTTGTCCAGGCAGGACGAGCTCCGCCTGGCAGGCGGGTGTCAGTGACTCCATTTTCCCCAAGAGTTCTCCATAGAGATTCTAAGGGGTGGTCATAGATACCACGTGAAGAAAGAATTCCTTTGTCAAAACTTTTGAAGGCTCTGGGTTAAACCAGGTTAATAGCTTTGTGCATTGCACTGCTTCTCTGAGCCTTAGTGTGCTAGTGCCACTCCCGAATCTCGGGGGAAGGACGGAATGGGTAGAGTTCCCTACCACTCATTCTCAAGCTCTGCTCTCAGAGCTGCTCCTTGGCCCTGCATTCTGTACTCAGAAATACCTGAACGGCTGGGTCGTGACAGATTTTTATAGCCGTTATAGTAAGTCATCTTCAAAATGATAGTGTCACATTCTCGTGTCATTCAGACATCAGCTGTATAAATAGTTACAGCAGTAGCAGTAATAGAAACAGCGAGAGGTTAGTAATATCTGCTGGGCACAAGACAATTTGCTGGGCACCTGGAGTGTTGCAGAGAAAAGTCCAGGCTCACCACGGAGTTGCCACGGACTTGGGCGAGGGTCCTGGAGTTGCCATGGACTTGGGCGAGGGTCCTGGAGTTGCCACGGACTTGGGCGAGGGTCCTGGAGTTGCCACGGACTTGGGCGAGGGTCCTGGAGTTGCCACGGACTTGGGTGAGGGTCCTGGAGTTGCCATGGACTTGGGCGAGGGTCCTGGAGTTGCCATGGACTTGGGTGAGGGTCCTGGAGTTGCCAAGGACTTGGGCGAGGGTCCTGATTACTCTGAGCTCTGGTTTTCTTACTCCAAAGGCGGAGTAGTCACAAGCACCCTTCGGCCGTGGGAAGGATCTCACACAGCACCATCACCTGTGAAGTCCCCACGCGGTGCCTGTGCGCAGTGGGTGTTCAGCTGTTGGTTACTGTGGGTCTGTATCATCTCTAGTCCTTGCCGGCCGCCTCCTTGCACAGAGGCGGAGGCTGGGGCTCTAAGGCCCAGAGCCAGCCCCGCGCGGATCTCACTCAGACGTCCCTCTTGCAGGAGGTGTATCTGAGTCCCTGCAGTTTACGCTTGGAGCGCTCCGTTTTGCTGACTGAGATGTAACCTGAAAAGCACACTGCCATCCAGAGGCCTCCCCCGGGGATGAGATACATGGGCCAAGCCCGGAGCAGGCGCTGACAGCCAGTCCTGTTAGCCGAAGCCCGTCCCCTTGGCAGCGCCATGCCGCACACCTGTACGTTATTTTTTAAAGATTTATTTATTTGAAAGGCAGAGTGACAGAGAGAGAGAGAAAGCGATGTCTTCCATCTGCTGGTTCACTCCCTAGATGGCCAAATGACCAAAGCTGCACTGATCCAAAGCCAGGGGCTTCTTCCAGGTCTCCCACGCGGGTGCAGGGACCCAAGGACTTGGGCCACCTTCTACCGCTTTCCCAGGCCCTAGCAGAGAGCTGGATTGGAAGTGGAGCGGTTGGGATTCGGACTGGCGCCCATATGGGATACCGGCACTGCAGGCAGCGGCTTTACTCACTGTGCCACAGTTCCGGGCCCCTACAGCAGGTTTTCTGTATGCTGTCCAACTCCTGGGGAAAACAAATGTGCATTCGTGATAATTATTTGTAAATTTCACTTGGAAACTCAGGCTTTTCTTTGTGGTTGATAAAGACTCGGGATTGGAAAGAAGCAGTCATGGCAGTGGGGATTTGCGTGTGTTCGCAGCTGTGGCAGAGCCTGTGTCGAAACACGCTGCTTTAAGAAAAAGGTTTTTGCTTTCAACCCCACTGTCGGCCTTCCACAAGACTTGCTGTCTAGCAGACAGGTGTGCGAATGCTGTGACACGGAGGTGCGGTGGGCTGGTGACCGCTGAGTGGGCACAGCTCCCTGAAGGCAGCCACCTCCTGG